ATAAAGACAGTTATATATAAAATATGTATATAAATTATAGCCTATGTCTTATTCTGATTATATCTATATTGTTTTAGTTTCATTAAAATCCATTCAGTAGTATTTGCATGAAAGAGTAATAAACATCCATCCATACATACAAACTTTCGCCTTTATAATCTTAGTAATGATAATGTTAGCAATGTAACGCGATGTGTAATATCTTTTTAAGATTACCTTGGAGTATTTACACACACTTAAATATACCTTAGATTTTTAAGGTTGTTCGTCTTAAAGTAAGGATAGTTGGGGGTCAGTGATTGAAATCGTATCGTTTATATAATAACATCTTTTTTTTTTAAATTAGAAGTCTTGCCAGTGTTTGTCCATACCCGATTATAAGTAGTGATTAGTCTTAGATGGTACGCAATAGCCAATTAAATTGCTTAAACAATCACATTATAATATGGCGGGAAAGCTGACGTCAGCAATTATAGACTTTAGTTATAATAATGTAGTTAATATAATCCATACTAATATTATAAATGCGAAAGTAGCTCTGTCTGTCTGTCTCGCTTTCACGCCAAAACTATTGAACCGATTTAAATGAAATTTGGTACACAGATAGTCCAGAGCCTGACAAAGGACAAGCACAAGCCGCGGGCGAAAACCTAGTATAGTATATAGACATTATTGACTGTATTTTTCATGATGAAAGTAATATACAAGATCTAGATGATTTGTTCTTCTTAACAATCTTATTCAGTTCTAATAATATAGAAGCTAAGGTCACAGTACATGTTAATTCCCTGAAAATTCGTTATTTCAACGATAAAGATACTACAGAGATTATAACACACGTGAATATAGGTTTGATACCCATTTTTGGAAAAAATATTGTGCAAAGAACATATTGTTTTTGCAGTGTCTGGGTGTTTACATATCTACAATGTGTACTTAATTACAAAAGAAAAGTATGTTTAAGTATCTTTATCAGTTATCTAGTAACCATAGTACAAGCGTTGCTTAGTTTGGGACTAGAGAACTTGGTGAAAAAATGTGTCCTAATATATTTTACACGTGAAATAACCTGTGTGGTATCTCTGTCGTTATCGAAATCGTCACCGAAAGATGTCCTCAAAACAGCAAGCCTTCTAGCACACTGCTCATTATTCATGACGTCGTCCAGCTACAATAATTAATAAGTTTGAGGTTCGAGGCGTATTTGCATACAATGCGGGGCGCCCGTACGCGGGCGCGTTCCGAAACGAACTGAGCCTTTGAATTCTGTTGCAATAATTGCTCGTGTCGCTTAGACGCCGGCTCGCTGGCCGTTGACTGATTGATCGCCGATAATTATATTCCCATTTTGAAATATAGTTGTTCGAAATTCGAAAAGTAACAAGTTCTTTGGTTGATTGTTTTTTTTTTTAATATGAAACAGCCAATTCACATCAAGGTAACAAAATGCTGAATAACATTACCACATATCGTGGAGGTTGTAGATTTGGTTACAAATGCGATATAATTAAACAATTAATCAAAATTAATAAAAAATATTAATATACAATTAATAAAGATAATTAAACGATTAATAAAAACATATAATATTACTCATAAAATTAGTATTTTTGACTCAAATGCAAAACGATCACCATACAAAATAATTGGATAGTTTGAACTGATACCTAACTCTCCCAATCCCTTGTTGTGCCCATATTTGTGCTGTATAGATTCACAACCAGTTGCGTCAGAAACTTAGCCCTGAATGGCGTCATTCTTCCCCGTGTAAAAGCTGTAACAGGCTAGAAAAGCCTATTACAGCTTTTACAGTACATATACCTTACATAATAGCCATTAATATAATTAAATCGATACAAATTGCGGCCAATTCGGTAGTAGAAGGTGATGCTCTCTCCGGATCATTAAATGGGGCGTCATTGTTAGTTGTCTATGGGAAAAGTGATGGTTTGATCGCGCGTAATGATACGTCCGTGATTTGGTATATCACGATAATTGGTATCGGTTGTCCATGAATGTGAGCGAACATGTGGGGACGTGATTTTCCCACTTGTCTGTGAAGAAACGCAATTAAAAAAACCTGTGTCTGAGCATCGTAAAAAAAAAGGTAAAATAAGAGCCCATAAATGTCCCACTGCTGGGTAAAGGCCTCCTCTGTAAAGAGGGTATCAGGGCATAGTCCACCATGCGACCCCACTGCGGATTGGCGGACTTCACATATTTTTGAAATTTTTTTTTTTTTTATTATCATTTCCAAAATATGCAGGTTTTCTCACGATGTTTTCCTTCACCGCCCAGCACGTGATAATTCAGCACTTAATATTAACAATTTCATCGGTGCTGGCAACGAGGTACTCAGGTTTCTCAAGTAAATTAAAGGCAAGCGCGCGGACATTGTGTAATAGAAAAAAAAACTTAATGCAAGCTTCACCAGTACAGCATGCTCGTACAGAGATAGACAATGTCTTTGTTTAGGTATTTCCTTTTCTGGTTCGGCAAACCAAGACAATTTATGGTGCTTTGGTACTGTGGTAGGTCAGCACCTTTTGGTTGCTAGCCCAATGATATCTATGATACCCGTATGGATGAAGTGGCATTGTCAGCCCTTAAGTATGTGGCATCCAATCACTTCAGCCACCAGATGAAAATTATCATTCTTTTCATTATTAGAATGAAAAGCTAAAAAGAAAAAATATGTTAAAGAAAAGTTTTGTGCTTATGTTATTTACTTGATTCCATTACAAATCAAACTGATTGATATCATTCTAAAATTCTTTAGCATGATCATCAATTTGCAGAAAAATTAACGTTTATAGAAAAACCCCTATTTCAACTTATTTCATCACTTAAACATTCAGAAGTGATGGACACCAGTTGTGTGGTTACCACAAAAACGATCGCTCCACAATTAACTTTAATAATAGGTAATTGCTGTAAAACGATTTTCGGCATTATGCGTTCGTAGGCTACCTTTTCTTTAACCGATTTGGATCCGTACGAGGATTTGATACGTCGAAGTACTGGTGTTTACCATTGTTCATCAACGGCCGGCTCTACAATTTGATAGGATAATAGTTTTACAGGCGAGATAAGTCATGTTACGCGGTAGACCGAGAGAAAAAGTTTAAAAAAGGATACCTATTCTTTGTAGTTGCCACTGATGGCTGGATGCTGTCTTTGTGTATTTCGGTAAGAGCCACTATACTATTTTCGTCTTAATCTTATTAGTATCCACAATATTAGTTTCCTTTCTGATCACCACATCAACTTTGTTCATTGTTGAAGAAAAAGTAAGTTTAATAACTCTCTATAGCATCCTATAGTATACGAGTTTGACGGTAAATGTAAGTATCCTATATATGACAAGACAACAAGATGTAATGAACAATTTAAGTCTTCAACAAGATTATTTTAAAAATTTTATCGCAAGTTCTATCATAATTCCGGAAGTTTAAAATATTTTTTAGCTTCCACGACTACTTACTGAATCAATTTACCTAAAAACCTTTGATCAGTTTCAAATTCAAGCTTGTCAATGTATTTAAAAACAGTAACAGAAAATATAAATTCGTTAATATTATATTAAAAAATGTTAAGTTTTTAAGAACCTATGTACAGTTCAACTGACAATTTTTTTTTTCTGATAGAATCACGATTGTATTAGATATTCAAAAAAACTTACCTATCTGTGTGAGTTCTATTCCATAAACCAGTTTTTTGATCCATCACATGAACTGAAATGATTTTAGGATCAACTGGAATGATTGTCAGAAAATCTCAGAAGCACCTATTGGGGTCAATCCAGTAACACGTGAATAATCTTGCGTGCGAGAGAAGTATCCTTTGAGCCGTTTATTTCTGAAAGGACGGTCCTTTGTCCGTACCCTCGAAAGTGATCGATCGATTAATCATTCGGTCAAAATCGTTTTTAGTTAAGTCATCCAACATTTCTACAATCGCATTCGGGAAGCGAGACAAAGGCGTACGATGATAAACCCATTGAAACGCGTTCGTTACCGAGAGCGTGGTCAGCGGCGTGTGAAATCACCGCCCAAACACGGGCTACTGTGGGAATTTCTGTTGCAAAGCTTTTACTGTGATTTACTTTAAACAGTGACCTTTGGATACTGGTCAAATTTTAATCCCTACTATCTTACTTTGAATAGTTTCACAGGCACAGGTTTCAATGTATAACAAAAAAAAAACGCGTCGTAGAGCCTGCCGATAGAAGTGAAAACTTAAAAGTGGAAATAATATTTTTGTTTTTTGATTTTTAAATGAATACTAATATGATTAATTGAAAACATAAAATACTAATTTAAATTTGCAAAAGTCCTATTTCATGTCTATCAATTTAAATCAATAAAAAAATTTTGTAGCAGTGTTTTAAAATACTATAGAAACACTAGAAGTTTGTTTTTTTTTGACTCCATATGGTATTTTTTAAATGTTTCAAAGCACGTTTTATTTGAATTCCTTTCTCAGGCTCTAAACTATCTTTGTACCAAATTTCATTGAAATCGGTTACTTTCCATACTAATATATAGTAAGTAGAAATAATAAATATTTTCGGACAAATTTTAAGTATGGATAAAAAAATAATCTATACTTTTAAGTATGGATTAATAATGCTATTAATCCATACTTAAAACTTATGGATTACCACCCAATAGTCAGTTAACGAATCGAGAGGGAACTTTTATGAAAATTCTTTAAGAAATATCTTTTTATATTTACAAGCACGGCACCTGTGTTACGCGCCCAAGGCGGGGAAGAAAAAAGTTGCTCGCATATCAAAGTAGTACACGAAATCGTCATATGGATATTATTCGGGTTTAAATAATTACATTTTCCTAACAACGATGTTACATTAAAATTGCGATTTTATAAGCATGATAGTAACGAAGTAATATTTAATTAAAAAGGTTTTTTAAGTTATACTTCTTTTGGCGCGTTCGAAAAAAAATATAAGGATAAAATTTTTACGATGGCCTTGCACAATGACCCCCAAAAAGCAACATGGTTTGCTTTGAAACTTGCAACCAATTTCACATACTCGGTTGCCACGGTGTTATCATGGCAACCAGTAACAACTTTTTGACATTTACCTATAATTCCTAGTTAAACGGTATCAATTGCATTTAATGTATTTCTCACAAACAAAGAGTACTGGCACATTGTAATGGGTAAATTTCTTTAGTTATTTTTGTTTTGTTACAATTCAGAAGTATAACTTCTAACATGCGTATAAGTACACTCCCACTTTTTTTTACATTTTACCATTGGCGGTTACGTTACATGCTGATTTATTTATTTCTTTCTTCTTAATTATAAGGAATACTAGCAACCCGCCCCTGCTTCGCACGGGTGCAATGTATTATACTTATAAACCTTCCTTATGAATCACTCTATGTAGAAACCGCATCAAGATCCGTTGCGTAGTTTAAAAGATCTAAGCATACATAGGGACAGACAGAAATCAGTTCGACTTTGTTTTATACTATGTAGTGATAACATACTAGGCATAGGTATAAAAAAAAGTTCACAACAAGTTATAATTACGTCGTATTAAAATACTTTTACATTCAGTCCTTCCAAAAATGCCTTGGATTTCCCAAATTCTACACATTACTTACATTAGTAATGCGTAGAATTTGCGTATCCTACAAATTTTATCGCGTCTAATGTTAAACGTATTTCGTTATGTTGTATTTCGGGACCATTGCTGCTGTAGTGATTAGTGTTTGAAACGTCCTAGCGGAAATTCAAAACTAACTTATCCGTGATCAAATCCATTAAACGATTTCGTTTAACAATACAAATGCTAAAAATAAGTAACAGACAGTACGTGTTCCATTGCTGTTGTTACCGAATTATTCCTCAATAGTTTACTTCTTTTAAATTTGGAATGTATAATATTATTAAACGACAAATAGAGGGAAAAACATTTTAGAAAGTTGTTAATTACGTTATTCGTTTTAAAGTTCGCGTATTTAAATTCTGCCGCATCTAATTAAATGACACGAAGCAATAACAAAAGCGAATGCAGAACCGGAATACGGACTTACGTAATATAAAACTGTCGCCTAGACTTTGCGGTCAGCCCCGACCGCATCCACATATTCTGAACGTTGCACTTTAGAGCGAGACGGAGTGATCGGGCCTCCCGCTCTAACGGCGGCCGGTCGCTGCACGTGCGCCGTCGGAACGGGTTTCGCCGCGGACGGCCCGAGATTTTATTAATTTCTGTTTTCTTATACATTCCGCATTACCTCCAACGGACTTCTGCTACCCTGGTACATGGCCCGTCGATTTCATTGATAACAAATTGCCTCCTTTGTCCCGTCTTGAGGTCTCTCGCTACTCGGATCATTGTTTACCCTTCCGTACCACACGTTACTTGACAAGTTTTGATTTCCAAAATGCATTAAGTAGTTCCACAGACTCAGAGACTTCCATTAGCGATTCACTAGCATTAAAATCATGACGTGTCTAGTAGAGTCTAAAATAATCATTCACATTGGTGAAGCAATGAACGAATTTAACTTACATAAAAACTCTGTAGTCGTGGTCTCTGCGAGCGACTTCAGGACGTTTAAATTGTTTAATGACGAAATAATGCTTTGATAAGCTTCGCAAACTAATCCTAATGGATGAGCGTAAAGAACAGATCACAAATAGAATCCTCATCATCTTCCTCCTCCACTTATTCGATCTAGTTGGGATGGGCACAACAAGAGAATCATGTCGAAAATCGCATGGCTAGGTTTTGGCAGCATACCTGACGTCAACCCACCTTGGTAATAAACACCCAACTCCGGAAAAACTATCTGTGGGTCACTCAAAAACTTGTCCCGTGTGGGAATCGAACCCACGAACCCCGGTGCCGAAGCCTATCCTACCTATTAAAAAATGTTGATAATTAACGCGTTCATGGATAAAAATTAATGATTGAATTGGGAAGCAGATGGAACGTTTTATTTGACCCATCTTTAAGTTTATACTTTTAACATAAATATTATTTTGAATAATGCTTCAACATTAGATTATATTGTTAATATAAAAAACATCATCTTAATCCTTTTGTTAAAATGGCAAAGGTTATATCCGCTTCAAAGTTACTCTGGTAAGATGTATAACTTTAACAGCCAAATAAAATTTTTCAACAATTAATCGGCCATATCAATCAACTTACCTCAATCAATGTTATCGACTTAATAAAAACATTAAATGTTTGATGCATTTTTAGAGTTTCTTAACAAATTACACAAAAAAAATTATTAGAATTAAAATAACTGAAATCTTTTACAGAGGGCAGCGTAATAAAACATTTTAGTAACAAAAAACAATAAAACATTATAGTAACAAAAAAAATCGAATTTCAAGTGTATCCACTCTAGAGGAGTTCCCTGAAATGTCTCGAGAGTGCGAAGACAAAACTAATAAAATTAATCGATGTTAATATATGAACCACATGAAATGGCGGAAAAATATTAAAAAAACAACAGTTGAAAAAATTTTTTTATTTTATATGACGTGAAAACATCTGAACATTCATCATATAATTATGTTATGAATTAGAATAACAATTGTGTATAAGTCGTTCAATACAAGCGAAATGAAAATCCAAATACGTGATGGAAAATCGCGAGACAATTTGTCTTTTCATTTCTACACTTAAAAATGCAACAGTCTTTTTTTTTACAGAGATCGCCACTGAGCTAACAGGGCCAGTGTTATGGCCGCTAAAAATAAAAACAACTCTGCGCCCACGACATGTCGACAAGCGAGTGACGTGTAGGTGAAATGGTCAATAAAAGTGTGATTTATATCGCGACGCTTATTTTTATACGCCGCTGCAATCTCGGCGGAGGGACGCTTTTAATTCGACGCAGTAACTGTACACATTAATTGGTGTATAGCTAAGGGTATTCGTTTGAATACATGATGCCCGGGTACAACATTTCATGTAAATTCCTACGACTTTTATCCCTGATGAATATTATACATTCCTGAACAGATAAGCGCAATTTTTAAAATCCATGATACTCTGGTAATTTAATCGAAATAATAAGAAACTCTTACCCTGAAGTGGATTAACAAAGACAGCAAGTGATATCGATTTTTTGTTTTTGTGGCAAGGTGGCAGGCGACAAAGGTGTACCTAATATTAAGATTTAACCGCCGCCCGTGGACATTTAGAACAATAGGATTGCAGATAATATTCTAATATTATTTTACATAATGTGTAGTTACATTATTATTTTTAAGTGTTTTTTGTATCTATTGTGCTTAGACCGTGAATAAACGTTTCTTCTTCTTCTTCTTCTTCAGATGTGTTTACATTTTATAACAAAGTGAGCCCCAGCTATCTCACTCACCAGATAGAACGCAGAAGTATAAAAGTTCACTTCACTTCTTCACTTCTTCTGAGAGGTCCTACCCGGACAAACATGTCCATTCGTGCAACAGCCAAGACTGTTGCGTGGCCCTACCACAGTTAAAAAGAAGTTAAACAAAGAACCAAAAGTGACAATCTTGTTGCCGTAAATTGGAAACAAATCCGCGTGGTCTCGCAAGTCCGAAGCATTTAGAAAGATTTCATTACAGCATTCTAAATTTAGAAAATAATATGTACAGAGTGCATATAACATAATTATATGCATACCCAGTACACATAGTACTTCGCTCTTCGATGTTTATAAGTACTAACATAAAACATGAAGATGTTGTTCGCTACGTTCACGCGTATTTTGTGGATCTTGAGAAGAGTTAACAATTACGATCTTGATCTTTTCCATGTTTACTTTACTTAAAAATAAACGCGGTCCATGACCCTTTGCTGCTCTATGGCGCTCATTAAGGAACTGACAGATACGCTTCCACATTTAAAATAATAGCAAGAATTAAGGATACCATTTCTTAAAACGTCAATGTAACTTAAATGAATAGAGTTTACCTCTCAGTTGCTACCATTTCACAATCATCATCGTCATCATGATTTCAACCTGTTTGAGTCCACTGCTGACCATAGGCCTCCCCATAGACTGCCACGAAGTACGATCCTGAGCCACCTGCATCCATCGACTTCCCGCACATTTGCACAGCTCGTCACTCCATCTAGTGGGGGGTGGTCCTACACTGCCATGGCCAGTACGAGGCTGCCACTCGAGAACCTTTCCACAATACGTGTATAACTGGTATTCCTTCCATCCACAGAGCGCCCCTACTCCGACTCCGAGTTGGACCGACCGGCCCCGCAAGCGCAGCCTTGCCGCAGATCCGCCTCCTCGCCGCCCCTCGCGCTGACCCTGGACTCGGAACTAGAGGACGATGTGTTCGTCAGCCCGCGCACGGACAGCGCGAGCGACCCCTTCTCCACGACCAACCTGGAGATATTCCGGCACGGGAGCGCCAGGACCCCGGCCGGGATGCTGCTCAGCCCGAGGCGCGAGCGCTCGTTCAACTTCAGCGTGACCCGGGAGAAGCACTGGCGGGATAAGGGCGGGACGGACGTGGCCGACGGTGGTGCAGACGTGGTGAGTTCCGAATACACTCTTGTATCTTGTATTAACTGATGTTTTTGCTTTCAGTCTCGAGACTATTAAAGCTTCATAGGACGCAGCACCGGTGGGTTAGCCAGAACCCACGGGTTTGGACCCTCCACTATGGGTAGGGTCGCGCATGTGCTCATGCGTGCGTTTAACTACTATGGTGTGTCATCTAAGGGCCGTCGAGGTCGCGGTTCGGACCGAGACCCCGACGGCCGTCGACTGTGCATTTAGCTAATCGGTGGCTGGGAGCGGTGAGAACCGCCCCGGAACGCGGGTGTACCTTGTGTAGTGAATACACTCGCTAACATGCCGCTGCTTAACGAATAGAACGGAGTAGTAATGCTACTGTACCTGGTTTGGCATATTTGACAAAACAAAACCGACTTAAAATATCTCGCTTCGTATTCATTTTATAATTGATTTTTCGAAGTTCCCTAAGTATCTCCGGAGCCCAAGATCCAATACCAATTAAATTTATATGGACCACATGGGAAGCACCAGCTTTCAAAGAAAAAAGAGAATCATCGAAAGCGATCCACACAGTCGAAAGCTCTGAGGTAACGAACATAAAAAAATACAATCGAATTGAGAAACTCCTCCTTTTGAAGTCGGTTAAAAATAGAAAAAAACAACTACGCTCATAATTTGATGACTCCGTGGCACAGTTCTCCGAGCTTCGGCTACGGGGGTCGTGGGTTTGATTCCCATACGGGACAACTATTTGTGTGGCCCACAGATAGTTGATTCGCATCTGGGTGTTTGTCCGCCTGAAATTCATGTTTGTAAAACTTCCTTACAGCACAAGATAATGTTATCGTTAAATTTGTAAGGGCAATGTATTTAAAAAAAATATAGTAAGATATAATGAAGATCTTGTAGTACACACACATACACAATAAACAAATTTAATTCGCTTTTTTGTCGACGTTTTGTAACAAATAGGACAGAAAAACGTGTCTGTCAGGTCACGAGTAAATACGTCGTATTAAGTTAACTTGTTTACATTAGGTACCAACGACGTCTTTACGCACAGCAGTTATACTGTCCAAATAAAATCAAAAGTATCACGGAATGTGCGAACCGCACTCTCCGCACTGCTTGATTGTTTTTCTAAAAAGTCGCACGTGCAAAAACCTTTGTCCCGCCGCGAATGATTCATCGGGCGGACCGTTGCACGCGTCACGTAGGTAAGACAAGACAATCGTTTGCAGTTTGTCGTTGGCGCCATTTTTTTGATTCTTAACCGCATTACTTTTGTGCAGGTGTTAAATTAACAGGAATATCAAATTATAAAATGTATATAGCACTGTCATTGTGTAATCATGTTGTAAATTTTTTTTGGATGTTACATTTTTGCAAATTAATGTTTTTGTGTGACCTCCGGCCATATGTAATTATTGCATTATTGCATATGCTTAAATTAAAAATTAAAAAGTTTAAATGTACTATTGTCATTAAGTTATGCAAGACATTTTCACTACGATAGAGTTGAATCTGTGGTTTAATCAGTCAAACCTTGCATAGGTATACCACAAACGGATAACATTCGTCAGGCAACTAAAGGAGAACGCATCAAAAATTTAACATTTTTAACAAATTTATTAATTAAGTTAAATTGTGCTAATTAACGCCTTAGACCAGTAATTTTATATCATGATAATTAAGAAAGTTCATTTCCTTTGAAAAAATAATAGTCAAAAATGCTTCATAGTAACAACTTGCTATTTAAAGTGATCAGGCGCTATCTCTAATATTAACTCTGATGAATTCGGTCGAAATGAAATCTATTCTACAACAAAGCTGTCAGTTTCTTGATTAATGGCCTAAGGTATACCTTAGGAAATACAATCATATTGTTAATGGTGTGATAAAATAAAAAGTGCTGACTGAAACGGAAATTAAATCTTTCCGAATGCGCAAACGGTTTACGCCCAAATAAAGTTTAGTGGCGGAGAGTTTCTTTCGACATTTGTGTATTTGTTCTTTGAAGTGGAGACAGCTTTTCTTCAAAGTTGTTTATAAAAATCAAACAGCACAATTTTTGCACGGGAAAAGAAATTGGGCGGGGTAATAATTGACTTGAAACATTTTGCTGAACATAAAAGTATTTAACAAAAACAATATTTTTACACTACAATAAATGCACGATTATCCTCTCACAAGATTTTGATTTAGTTGTAGTGAGTGCTCAGTAAAAGTTACTTGAACAAACTAAGCAATATAATTGAGTGTAATACACTTTTACACTTTAAAACTTAATCAATTGGTTGTCGGAATCATGTTTCCAATCTTTTATTTGTCGCGACTTAATCTGTAACGAAAAATATAAACATTATGCAATAAGTGCATCTCGTGAGCCACCCGCGCGTAAGAGTTATTTTTGGACAACTCACTTAACATAATCATTTGAGTGTTGTCTCGTGTGCTACGCAAATGGGTCACCATTGACGTACCGTCCCAAATTAATAGAGCCGCTCCCAATTAGATCATTAAGGATGAGATTAATGCGGCTATTAGCACAGAACTGTCCGAGTCGCAGTAAATCTTCGTTCTAATATCGCGGAACCGTTCGCGATCTGACGAAATATTCTTCGCTTAGTCACATCACGAGGAAAAATAGATTAACAATCTATATTAGTTGCGTATGTACGTGTGTTTTTATATGAGATGGAAGGCAAGCAAGCTCGTCATCAAGCAAGTCAAGTAAGCCATCTAATGATAAGTGATGAGCACCGCCCATTGACATTTTCAACTCACTTAGGTTTACAGTGCGTTGCCACCTTTTAATAAAGTGAGCCCCGGCTACCTCATTCAACAGACGAAACGCAGAAGTATTTAAAGTTCCACTTCACGGCGGTCTTCTGTGAGGTCGTGGCATTTACCTGGACGGACTTGCCCATTCGTGCAACAGACAAGACTGTTGCGGGGCCAGAGTAAAAAAGTAAGTGTGACTGTGATTGTGTGAAGTGTAAAATGGTTAGTCAATTCTTCATTTCACACTACACACAATGACTGAATATGACAATGACGGGATTTAAACGATGTTTGTTCACCCAAGAAGTGCTCAACGCGCCTAAAGAAGTTATCACTTCAAAAACTTGTCGGATGTATAAAATTTTTGTTTTTATGATTCATATTTATTTTATTCTTTACTAACGTTTTTACTTATAGTAGCTCTAAATCTGTTTTAATTAAAAAAAAAAACAACTTACATTTTGGCGTTGCACTTAGAGCTATCTCTGTAGTAACTTAGCCAACTTCTTTCAAATACGACTTTCACTCTCATTGTAGCTCTGGCTTTAGTGTGAAATAAACTTATTTTAGTATTTAGTACGAAATTAATTGCCCCACAAAACATCGGCCAGGGGGGGATTTACGCTATATTGGACGCATTTGATGGAGGGCTCGGGATTCTGTGAAACGATTCATCCTAGTGTTATGTTTCATAAAGCCTTGTAATTTATTGACCGTTCCGCGACGAATTGTTGGCGCTTCTTTTACTTCCATTGGTATTCCCCTAAGCTGTGCTGTAGTGTGGTGGGATTGTTTTTGTCCTAATCTCAAATATCGAGGCTCTACGGTATAACGGGTGAGGGCTTCGACTCGTGATTTTAGTAAGTGGGTTCTTATGTCATTGACGTGCAAACGTTTTGCCAATTTGTGCATATTCCTACGTGTACTATTGGTTTTTAACAATTGAGTCCCGTGTGGAGGAATATACACCAGTAACACCAGTTACGTTTTCGGACTTTCACTAAAGTCCTTTAAAGTTTGGTGATCACGATAGGATCACCTAATTATTCAGAATACGGCGATTACTTCAAATAATGCATAATCGATTCGGAACGTGTAAATCTATTTTAAGCAGATTATTACCGTACTCTGCTATTTCTTTCTGATCACATTAAAGATATCCTTAACCGGCCTTAGAACATTGAAAAGTCGTTTACGCCTAAAAGCCCAATAATGAAAAATGACAGCGGAAGAGTTTGCTAACAGCGGTATTCTTTGAACGACAGGTCTGACATGCCTGCAAGAACTATGCAGACATCCACGAGTTACCTACCATCAAGTGGCTCTCCTTCCTTTTACATCTTCTAAATGAAAAAAGAGAAAGAAAAGACATTCAGGCACTACACTCCCGACTACCAAGGTCGTCCATGACCTTGTCTAAAGACGTTGACTCATTCCGTCTTTCTGTGCTCCTGGTGTGAGCCACGGGCCAACTGTCATAACAACACGCGCCTATTTTAAAGTGCAATAAAACTCCGTCGAGCGATGTAATGCAGGCTAACTGTAACGACGTTTATGGTCGCGCGTAAAACGCTATTGAGTTGGCAATTACGCTTCAACAGTAGCAGTGCCAATGACGGTATCATTCTTACACTAAATTCACGTAAAATCTGCAGTGCGGTGACCACTGACACAACATAAAGAAAACTTACTAAAGTACTCAAAATACTCAAAAAGTAAAGAGAAACTAAAACTATAGGTGTCGTCAGACAGCCTAGCCGGTTGGAATTAACCCCCTTACGCCGTTAATTGTGTATAAAATAAAAAAGCAAAAGTAGTATATTAACAGCTACATTCATTTATACGAACACACAATGCCTTCAAACTCAGTAAAGTAACGGTCTATACATTTCCCAGAGCTGGGCAAAAGCCTCCTCTGTACAGAGGGTATCAGGCTATAGTCCCCACTACGAAGCCCCACTGCGGATTGGCGGACTTCACAAATTATTTTCGAAATATTTTTTGTCATTATTTCAAAAATAAGAACAACAAAATGCAGGCTTCCTCACGATGTTTCCTTCACCGCTGAGTACTTAATAAGTCGGCATTTAAAATTAACAATTCCATTGGTGCCGGCACCGGGGATCGAAGTCAGGTTGCTCGAGTGTCTCGGCTCAAACGTAGGACTATTTATAATAGTCGCAGAGGATGTTTTTTTTAAATACGCATTATTTACTCTAATAAACTCAGCT